GGCCGGTCACTCGACTCCCCCTCCGGTCCCCTCCCCCTATGACCGTTAGCAGTTGGTTCGGGACCAACGACTTACGTATAGTAGTCGATGGTACTGTGTTGCGTAGCAGCGGGTACGAGGCCTGTCTCTTATACACATCTAGATGTGTATAAGAGACATGTTTAAAGAAGAATATGAGAATCAGGAAGGCAAGAAATTGGCAATGGAGGGCAGCTACTATGGGCCAGGGCGCAAATGAGTCACGAACAAGAGGGGCAACAGCGTTAATCAGGCGCGAAGAGAGGAGTATAGGCAGAGACAGGGAAAGCGAATAACAACAAAAAAGAGGGAGGAGGAAGGCAAGGAGGGGAGGGCACAGAGGATTGTATGTAGGGTGTTTGTGTACGGAGAGAGGAAAAGAGAGAGAGAGAGAGAGGCACGGAGAAAGAGAGAGACAACGACAAAGGACGGGATATAACGAGAGGGGGGGAGACAGAAAAGATCGATCGGGGGGTGCCTACGCGCCGCCTTCCCCCGAACAGCAAGTGCGGTCATTACAGCGCCTGTATTTGGGCCAATTTCCAGTCCAGATGCAGCGATAATAACCGAGCGTTCTATATGGGTGGGACAACTTTCTGATCTCCTTTCCGGAAGGGATCCCATTCGGATAGAGAGGAGAGAGATGACGACAGCCGCCGAGATTCCACCACGCCCGTCTTCCCCCGAATAGAACGTACGGTCATTATGCCTGTATATGGGGCTACTTTCAGCGATTATGCCTGTATTTGGGGCAACTTTCAGTCTAGATACAGCGATAATGACCGTACTTTGTACTTGGGGGAAGAAGGGTAAGTAGTAGGCGGATTTGAAGACATAAGAGAGCCCTTTTGACTTTCGTTGACTGCGGTCCGCATCTGTCAGTGAATCCGTACGGATTCACTGATTAGGTCCGCATCTGGTCCGATTTTACTTTTAGTGGAATCCCGTACGGATTCACTGATTAGGTCCGGATCAGTGAATCCGTACGGGATTCCACTAAAAGTAAAATGGATATACGAGATCATCATTTTTATTTTATTTTATTTTTATTTGATTTTTTTCATTTCTCAAGTTATGCGGTGACATCCTTTTGCAGGGGCCATGCTAATCTTCTTTGTTTTTCTCTATAAAAAAAAATAAAAAAAATAAAAAAAATAAAAAAATCTCTGTTTTGATCTACGTGTAATGGATTCAACGTTTCAATCTTCGTCACTACCAACAAAGGGGCTCTGCTCTGCCATCGATCTGTTAATCCGTACGACCGGTAGCACGGACTAACAGTACTACCGGTAGATATTGACATTACTACCCGCAGTACGGAGTAACAGATGTACTACCGGTCGTACGGCAAGCAAGGAATCACGGCCAGAATGGAGGCATGGGATGGGCGGGAGGGAAGCTGGTAAGAATCGCGAACAAGAAGAGAGAGAGAGAGAGAGAGAGAGAGAGAGAGAGAGAGAGAGAGAGAGAGAGAGAGAGAGAGAGAGAGACAGACAGATGACTGGCTACTTACGCGGGTCGAGCTCGTAACGGCGAGATCGTGCGGCGCGCAGTCACAGAACTCTACGTGAGTGACTGCACCCGGTTGCTGGACTGCCTTCACAGACTTGAACTTCCTCCAGAATCGACCTTCAGCTGTCCCCCGTAGAGCTTTCTTCGGAAATTCCCTGATCTGCAATTTTCTAAAGTCTCTCGACTCCTCCATCTCTCTCTCTCTCTCTCTCTCTCTCTCTCTCTCTCTCTCTCTCTCTCTCTCTCTCTCTCTCTCTCTCTCTCTCTCTGTGTCTGTGTGTGTGTCTCTCTGTGTGTGTGTGTCTCTCGATCGATCGATCGATCTCGATCTCTCGATCAGACGGCAGTCATCTCCCAGGACAGAAAGGAAAGCGTATTTTCTGTTGTCTGTGTGTGTGTGTGTGTGTGCTTAAAAGCTGTGTGTATACGTATTTCAGGCCGTGCTTTTCGAGTCGGCTTTCCGTGTCGGCTTGGCCTTCTTCGTCTTTCTGCTGGGATGGCGCTGATTCCACAAGCCGAAATCGTGAGGAAGGTACACCGAACAATAGTGTACCTATGGAACTCTGCAAAAATGAACCTGCTCCAGTTTGTTCAAGGTCCTGCCTGATGCCACGTCGGATGATAGCAGACACCCACGTAAGAATTGCCCTAACATACTCCTAATAAGTGAATATAAGGGCATAGACGAACGGTAGCACTACCCTGAGGGCATATAGATACTCACACTAGCACTTTCCAAAATGCATCAGAACGCAATTGCGGCCACATCCGGAAACACCGTGAAAAAACCGGTGTGGAAAAACTTTTCGCGGACTCCACCGGACGAATGAGGTGTGGACCCCACGGGCCGGCGGCCTGGAAAAGTTTGGGCGCCGGGGTGTTTTCCAGACCCCACCCCACTGGGTCTGGAAACCGGTTTGGAAAGCCGGCCCGGAAAGGAATTCCAGACCCCACTGCCCTTGGAAAGAGGTTGCCGAAATGGTGACGGGGGGTTTCTACATGGTCGGCGGTCTGGAAATTGGACGCCCACCGGTTTCCAGACCCTTTCCAAGGAGGCGGCCAGTTGAGCAGGGGGGGGGGCATGTCCATCAGTTTGGAGACGCGGACTGGACCATGCACCCTCGCCGTTGGCCGTTCTATGTATCCGGAGGCCGTGGCGGAATTTCATATTTTCCCGTGGTGTCGCACGGTATTCCCAAGAGCAGTGCGGTACCAGGCCATGGTCCACAGCACCCGCACGACTTGCCTTTTCGGGAAACACCCTTCGGCGGTTTCCTATTCGGGTATGCCATACCTTTTCCAGTGCCGAAACTATCGGTCTGCGGTGGGGTCCCTTCAAAATGCGTCAAGTTTTTTCCAACCACGGTCGGCCGTTTTTTGTGGCCAACACCAGTTTCCAGCCGCCGGCCAGTGGGGTCCACCCCTGAGGCCCTCTGGAAAGCCGATTTTGGGCGGGCGGAGAGGTTTTCAGGGACATCACCGCCTGGAAAACCGTAGCTGGAAATCTGAGTTTTTTTGTTTTCACGTTGGCTTCCCATGCCGTAGCTGGAAATCCGAGTCTTTTTGTTTTCACATCGGTTTCCCATGGGAAACGTGCCAGGGGAGGAGTTTCCACCCGAATTTTGTGCCCTGGCCAAAGAGTAGAGGAGGGGGGGGGGGCATGTCCTTCGTTGGAAACTCATCGCCGGCCCTGTGGTCCATCCGTAGTACGAGCCGAGCCGATCCCTGGTTCAGTGGCCAGGGCCACGGACATGCTGTTGTCACCCACTAACGGATCCCCGGTACCAGCACCGCGGTAGTGATCAGGGTTGTCACAGCCCCGGCCTCGGGGGGTCGGGACAGCCCCGGGTGTCCGGTGCGGTAGTCCCCTGCCCCCAGTCAGGGAGGGGCCAAAAAAAAAAATCAGAAAAAAAATATATATATTGGGGGGTGCGCAATAACAGCCTGCCCCCCCGGCCCAAAATCAAAAAAATGATTTTTACCCATCCCCGAACCCCCTACTGGGGCCATACCCACCATTGGTGCGGGGGCGGGGTTGCCCCGGGGCGGGGGTGCAGGGGTGCGGGGGCGGGGGTGCAGAG